TGAGGGGTCCGGTGGGGGGGGTCAGGTGGGAGGGGGGTATGGCGGGGTGAGGGGTCAGGTGGGAGGGGGGGGTCAGGTGGGAGGGGGGGTATGTTGGGGTGAGGGGTCTGGTGGGAGGGGGGGTCAGGTGGGAGTGGGGGGGGTCGGGCGGGGTGAGGGGTCCGGTGGGAGGGGGGTCAGGTGGGAGGGGGGGTATGGCGGGGTGAGGGGTCCGGTGGGAGGGGGGTCAGGTGGGAGGGGGGGTATGGCGGGGTGAGGGGTCAGGTGGGAGGGGGGGTCAGGTGGGAGGGGGGGTATGGTGGGGTGAGGGGTCAGGTGGGAGTGGGGCGGTATGGCGGGGTGAGGGGTCCGGTGGGAGGGGGGATCAGGTGGGAGCGGGGGGGGTCTGGCGGAGTGAGGGGTCTGGTGGGGTGGGGATCCGGTGGGAGCGGGGGGGTCTGGCGGAGTGAGGGGTCTGGTGGGGTGGGGATCCGGTGGGAGCGTGGGGGTCTGGCGGAGTGAGGGGTCTGGTGGGGTGGGGATCCGGTGGGAGTGGGGGGGTCTGGCGGAGTGAGGGGTCTGGGTGGGGTGGGGATCCGGTGGGAGTGAGGGGGTCTGGCGGGGTGGGGGATCCGGTGAGAGCGGGGATCTGGCAGGGTAGGGGGTTCAGTAGGAGTTGGGTCTGGCGAGGGGGGTGTCCAGTGGGAGCGGGGGTCTGGCAGGGCATTTCCTTGGCTTGGGTGTTTGGAGAGACGGTGTGGTGCTGTGCGGGGTATTATTCTTTCTTTCTTTCTTTCTTTCTTTCTTTCTTTCTTTATAGTAGGGTGGACTATTGGGTTGTTTTTCTTTTATTATGTATTTTGTAGTTTTATATCTTGATTTTATTCTGTGATCTGCCCTGAGACCCCTGGGTGTAGGGCAGTATATAAATTCAATAAGTACCGTATTTTTCACCCTGTAGGACGCACTTTTTCCCCTCCAAAAATGAAGGGGAAATGTGTGTGCGTCCTATGGGGCGAATGCAGGTGTGTACCGACCCCTCTTGCTCTCCAGGCTTCAGGAAGCTCTGCGCAGCCCTCGGGTGCCCTGCGCGAAGTCGCGCCGGGCTCCCGACGGCTGCGCGGAGCTGCCTGCATTCCGAAGCCTGGGACACGCTGAAGAGCACACCCAGGCTTCGCGCACTTCTCCACAAGCCTGGGGAGACCGGCGCGACTTCGCGCCGGGCTCCCTAGGCTTGCAGATAGCAGGCTGTTCTGGGGGCTGGGGTTGGGGGACGCTCAGGCTTCCCCCGCGCCAGCCCCGTGCCTGGGGGGGAATAAACTTTTTTTTCTTTATTTCCCCCCCCCAAAAAAAAACCCTCGGTGCGTCCTATGGGGCGGTGCGCCCTATGGGGCGAAAAATACGGTAATTATAATTATTACTATTAAATGTCTAATGCGATTATTAGTATACAGTGGTACCTCGGGTTACATACACTTCAGGTTACATATGCTTAAGGTTACAATATCCTGCACATATTTCTTTAGAAGATAAATAAGTAAATGTGGGTGATGCCAACAGACAGACCTTATGAAGTCGTAAGTCTGCTCGTCATGATGGCTGTTTTCTATCTCCACTGGTGACTGCGGTTATATTAATTTAGGCCAGCTGAGTTTTGGATCAAAACCTTTGTTTCTTGGGGTGCAAAACAAGGCATTTATTTATTTATTTATTCTTTTGAATTTATATGACGCCCTATACCTGCAGGTCTCGGGGTGGTTTCTCAGGTACCTTGTAAGATGGAATACATTGCTAAGGTGTCACAGCACATGGGTTGAAGTTTTGACAGGCCTGGGCCAGCAAGCTGCTTTACTTAAGCTAAATTTCTGAGGATCCTGCCACGCAGACCACAAAATTAGATTATGTGTTCCTTTAATTTTTGTTTTCCTCCTACCCTGAAACATTGTTAATTTGGTGTTTTGCAGAGCCTGGAGAAAATCATTCAAAGGGACTTTTTCCCTGACGTTGAGAAATTGCGTGCTCAGAAGGACTATCTAGATGCTGAAGAAAGTGGTGATTTGGAGAAAATGAGGCAGATAGCCATCAAATTTGGCTCTTCCTTAGGAGAACTTCCAAAGACACCCCTGCACCATGTAAGAATTTATTTGGATCCTGATCCTTGGATTATTGGTGTTGTTTGTCATAGAGTTTTGAACATGTTCCTTTGTCATTTTGGGGGTGTCTTTATGATTTGCAAAGAATACCCAGTAGAGCAATTTTATATGCATTGCCAAAACCTAATATAATGCTGCTGACGGGGCCAGAATACTCTTTGGGGTTTTTTGCTTGGGTTTTTTTCTTTTTCATTTCAGTCTTTTCTGTTTCTCGAAAGAGTTAGAGGCAGCATTTATGGAACCTTTGGCCCTACAAGTGTTGCTGATCTACAGCTCCCATCAGCAAGTGTGGCCAGGGGTGATGGGATTTGTAGTCCAGCAACATCTGGTGGGCCAAAGGTTCCCTACACGTGATATATGATATCCCCCTTTTATCCTGTTAGGTAATTAGGTGGATGGGGGTTGTGTTAATCAAATACACACACTATACTTTGTGGCTCAGTGGATATTTGAACCGGTGCCTTGTCTATGCTGGCTCTCAGAACAATACATTCCTAAGTCATTGCTTTTTCAAAAATGCTTTTGAACAGATGTTACTCCAGCCACGTTTGAAACGCCCGAGGTTCATCCCGGTGACCCCTCCACATTGAATAAACCCAAGCTCCCAGTAAAAACTACAGAGGAAGGTAAGAAATTCTCATTTTGCTTGTTTGGGTTGTTCTATATGTTGCTGTTTGGTTTCAGGGCTGAGAAGAATGTGAAACAATTCCTCCTGGTATCCCTAGTATTAAAAATTGGGGGGGGGGGGTGCAGTTTGGTGATATAAGAGCACATGGTTTACACGCAAAAAGATCTCAGGTTCAATCCCTGTCATCTCTAGTTGTATTCTGTCGTAGCTTCTGGTATCCTCATTGGTGCCTTGTTTAAAGGCATGGGGAAATCCATCATTTGAAGGACTGAGGCAGGACTTCAAAGTCTTATCTGTGTTTGCTTCCTCCCCCCTTTCCTAAAGGTGAAACGGAGGAAGAAGAGAGCAAAGATGCTCTGCCCAGCCTGGACAGCTTCTTGGCAAAACACACCAGCGAGGATAACGCTTCTTTTGAGCAGATCATGGACGTGGCAGAAGAGAAGGAGAGAGCCAGGCATTCATGGCTCTACGATGCAGAAGAGGAATTTGCCCAGGTGCGGGAAAGAGCTTTGTGTATCTCCATTATTTAAATAGCTCCATGTAGGAGACTGATCTTCCATTGGTAAGAGAGGTCCACCAACAAAGCCCTCCCTTAAGACTTTTAGATTGCGTTCTCTTCTGAAATGATCACCTATGGTCCTGAAGCATATGCAGCAAACTCACTCTAGCCAAGCAATCTGGTCATGGTGAAGTGCTTGGGGCCTGTAGATGAACCGGCTTGTGCCATACACACACTCTTGACTTCTAATGGGAAAAAATGGGGTTAAGCCATGTTTCAACACCAACCATTACACAAAGTAATATAGTAAGGCATGCGTATCTTGTACCGTATTTTTCGCTCTATAAGACGCACTTTTTCCCCTTCAAAAATTAAGGGGAAATGTGTGTACGTCTTATGGAGCGAATGCAGGCTCCTTGGCTTCAGCGATAGCAACGCAAAGCCTCCGGAGTGCAGAGGGAGGCTGTGCTCCGGGGGCTTCAGGCAGATACCCGCAAGCCTTCGGAGTGCAGCGAGAACTCCTGCTGTGCTCCGAAGGCTTGCGGATAGCCGCCTGAAGCCTGGAGAGCAAGAGGGGTTGCTGGAGAGGCGCTGCACAGTTTTCCTCTCTGCGCAGCACCCCTTCAGCGAAGCGGAAGGAGAAATGGAAGGGGCTCCATTTCTCTTGCCGCTTCGCTGAAGGGGCGCTGAGAAGAGAGGGGGAGAATTTCTCCCCCCCCCCGTTCTCCTCCTCCTATGGTCCGATGCGTCCTATAGAGCGAAAAATACGGTAATTATTATAAGATAATTATATACTCCCCAAGTAAATTGCAGGCCCACTTAATTTGCACCTTTTCACTCTTATGTACTACTGTTTGTGCCCATCACTAAAGATCTCTGTCAAATCTGTTTCAGCGGCACCAGGAGCAGCTGGCACTTCCGTCAGCAGAAGAGCAGCAGGCCCTGGCGAATGGGAAAGCTGGGGTGGAGACATGGGAGTACAAGGCTAAGAATTCCCTCATGTATTACCCACCAGGTGAGCTCAGTGATGTTGCAAGAGTCTCCAGCAAATGGAGACAGCCAAATGGACCTATAGCTGTAAGTGTGTGTTTGTATGTGCACACACACACACGCCAGACAGGATTCTCTGCATCTTCTTCCCTGTGTGTCTTCTCATATTTCCATACCTTTTCAGAATTAATAATTTTGTTGGGCCTAATTGGTCATTGCTGCCTGAGGTACTCTTTCTGAGTTCTAATATTATGGGTTGGGGGGGGGGGGATACTGATTCATTCCCTGCACCATTGAGAGATGAGCATGGACGTGAAGGGAAGTTTTCTTTCTGCAGTTCTCTTACTGCACATAACTGTGGCATTGTGGGAAGTCTTGCTTCTTTTCTCTTGCATTCTGGGAAGTCTCGCTCATAATCTTTTCTCTGCTTCTGCACAAGAGTCTGAGAATGTTCTGAACAGTTCCCATTGAATTCATGAAACAGTGTATCCTGACCTGTTCTTAATGCTTTGCTGACCACATCTACGGAACGTGATTGTTGTATTCCTTCATGTTATGTTCTCTCAATATCAATCTTTAGTTATAATTTAATTAGGAGGTTTCATGCCTGTCTAGTTCTAGCTCCATTCCTCATCCTTTGATCTATCAATGATAAATGGACATATGTTATTCCCGCCTTGTACCTATGTTAACCAATCAGCAACAAGATGCTTTGTGTTTGTATCAACCAATCAGCCACAAGCACACCTGTGGCAATGTTTGTAATATTCAATAAAAGAGAGTTCCCGGGGCTCACCCCGGAGAGACGCCTCTCATATGACACCTGCCACTCGTCTGTCGTGATTTCAACCCAACATGGACGTGTAATTGTGAGAAAACTCATCCTCTATTCTTCAATTTGAGTTTTCATTCTTGACTTACGGGAGTACAGTTTTCTTTTAAAATTGCAAATGGCAAGACTTTTGTTTGCTGCTTTGATATCAGGCCTCCGGTCTGTTGCTAATGTTCTGCCTTTTCCAGGTGTTCCCGAAGAGGAGAATGTGTTTAAAAAGCCACGGGAAGTTGTCCACAGAAACACCCGCTTCCTGAAGGATCCGTTCAGCCAAGCCTTGAGCAAATCCCAGCTCCAACAGGCAGCAGCCCTCAATGCTCAGGTTAGAGAGCTGATTTAACTTTCCCACATCCTCTTTATTTGAAATCGGTGTGTTTCCTCTACTTACAGATGGATACATTTAAAATTATATATTCCACCCCCCCTCCCCATACGTGCAGCTGAGGGAAAATTCTACCCATACTAGCTTTAAGCAAAGCATCTTTAACGTCCTTCAATTGATTAAATGCAATTTTAAATAGGAAAGAGAAGGCTGGTGAGTTCCAGTGGAGAGAGCCTCTTGCAGAAGACTTTGCATTACTGTATTTTAATATTTGGTTGGAAGCCACCCAGAGTGGCTGGGGAAGCCCAGCCAGATGGGCGGGGTATAAATGATAAATGATAACAACAACAACAACAACAACAACAACAACAACAACAACAACTATTATTATTATT